AGCATCATGTGTCAGTTCAGACCCAAGTCTTTTCATTGTCCTTTATCAATGTCCTTGTGGCCTTTATAAAATTTACTGCAATTCTTTCCTTTGCAGGTATTTTTTTTCCTACACTGTCAGTGCAATTGCTTCTGGATGATTCCCACAATACATCAAGGACACCCTCCAGTTACATTTAAAACATAAAAAAGGGAGGACTTACAGAGTTGTTTTTCACCAAAAGAGCACAGCACTGGATTCCTGCCATCAGCATCTTATGGGGATTCCATGCAACAGAATCAGCCCTGTGAAATTAAGCAAAGAGAAAAAAATGGCTACCCTGTCTTCCATGTTAGGAAGCCATAAATGCCCAGGTGCAGTACAAATGGATATATTAGAGTTCTTCATTCTCCTCATCCCCATTATTAGTTCCAGTTCTCTTCAATATAATAAAAAATAAATTACTGCTTTTGGAAATAACTCAAGAGATTTTTAAGCAGTGCTCTTGCCAGATGAATTCCCCCATAGCATACCCCTGAACTGTTAAACTACATTTACCTGTGAATACCATGCAGAAGCTTGCGATGCTTCCTTGACATCAAAGCTGAGCCACCCCAAGATGCCTGTTAAGATATTTATATAACCAAGACAGTGTTACTTGTATATTCTAAGGTGCCATAGATAGTGCCAGCACATTATTTATACAGCCTCAGTAATCCATTTTATTTTAAATGGATTTAAATTTGAATTTCAAAAGTGTGTGTGATACTCGGCCTCATGGCCTTCAGTTCAGCCCTGCTGAAATCAAGGCATTTTAACTGGTGTCAATTTGAATAGAGGGCCCACTTCCATCAATCTCATCTTCTCAAGTTAATGCTACTCTATTCTATTTAAGCTCAGTATTTGGACCACTGAGTTTCAAGGAAAACATAAATGCTTGAAAGTATGTCAGCAGCAGCACCTAAGGAGGACTACTGCATAGATTCAGTATGAGAAAGGCTGGGCCCAACCACTTTTATTTGCAAGGAATTTTTAGTTCTCAGATGTTAGTGAAGAGCTTCCATGTAGCCATGCTCAAAAAGGGGGGCTGTAGGTTGTGTTTCAGCGTTTAAAGATTTTGTTAAAAAAGAAAAGTTATTAATGAAAAAGAAAAGCAATCCAGTATATAAGGTGCTGACCCTGTAATAAGGTCCCTACAATCAGGGAGGGTGTGAAGTTCCAATGAAACATACAGGATTATATGCACAGGGCAGACACAGGTATCCACCCACATGCAGGCCATGATCCACCCACAAAATGGGTGTGTTGAGTTCACATGGCCACAATTCCTTAACAAACAAAAAGTGTTTTTCCAAAACTAAAAACGTTTTTGTGAATCTTTTTTTATTTTTTAATGTCATGCCAGGAAGTCAAATGAACCTTCCATTTTTTCTCAGACTTTCCCTGTAATACTATTTTGTTCAATAAAGATAAGATAGCATTGTAAACTAAGTCATATCAATGTAAGTCTGCAATATCTCCACCGACTTCAGTTTTAGAGAACGTGGCCAATGGCTTCGGAAGGTCACTGGCTCACACTAGCAAGAATTTGTCCCCTCTGTGGCTGTATCTGTACGAAATGCTACTGCACGGTCGTTACTGCATATTTATTTAGTACTTGTAAGTTCTAAATAAATGCGCAGTAACCAGAGTTACTGTGTAGTAGCGCGAGCAAACATCTTTTAAGTGATGCTACTGCACAGTAGCCTAATAATACTGCACAGTAGCAAATTAACATTGTCCATGCTGTGATGCACTACTGCACAGTATTATTTGGCTAGTGCGTAGTCAGCATCTCGTGTAGACATGCCCTGTATATACCATTTTAATCTGTTCAAAATCATTTTGTTTTTCTGGTATTTAATATATTTTTCAAAAGTCCCAAAAATCAGCACCCACTTGATAGTCACTGTACTGCACAATGTGAAAATTGACACTTAACAGGGACAATTGTGTTTTCAAAGAAACATATCTTTTCTGCTTTCAAATACTCTTTGCTTAAATGGAGCTCATTTTTCTCAGAACTAACTTTGATCCCTCAAAGGTATGACTCCTGAAGATTATTCCTGGATTGCAAGTTCCCGTGCTTATTCTTTCTTTTATATAGTATTGTCTGAAAACTATTTTCAAGGCTGCCCAACTAAGAGTAGGTCATATAACAAGCAATTTTTTACTACTTTACTGAAATTATGAGGAGTTCTCACTTCACTTCACTGAGTTTGGATATATATGAGGGCTAGTGTGTCTATAAAAAAATTAGTAAGTTTTCATCCCTACCCTTTACCCCAATGCAAAAATACCTATTGATCACAGTTTGCAACCTCTTCCCTCCATCCCACAAGTCACATCTTGACACCAGAACCAAACTAGCCTCAGATGGAACACATATTAAATAATTTTTCTTATGGACCCCATGCCCTCCCATTCATAGTTTCATAGTTGGTAGGGTCAGGAGGGACCTGAACAGCTCATCAAGTCCGACCCCCTGCCCTGAGTAGGAAAGGATGCTGGGGTCAAAAGCCCCCGGCAGGGTGATTATCTAGCCTCTTTTTGAAGACCCCCAGGGTAGGAGCAAGCACCACTTCCCTTGGAAGTTGGCTCCAGATCCTAGCTGCCCTGACTGTGATCTAGTGATTCCTGATGTCCAGCTTGAATCTACTCTCAGTCAACTTATAGCTGTTATTCCTAGTTACTCTTGGTAGCGCTTGGGGAAACAGGGACTCTCCCATTCCCCGCTGGTCCCCCTTGGTAAGTTTATAGATGTCCACCAGATCCCCTTTCAGCCTTCTCTTGTGGACGCTGAATAGGTTCAGGTCTCGTAGCCTCCCCTCGTAGGGTCTACCCTGCTGCCCCCCGATCACGTGAGTGGCCCTCCTTTGGACCCTCTCAATACTGTCCACATCCCTCCTGAAGTGCGGCGCCCAGAACTGGACATGATTCTTTATGATTCTTCAAGACACCTCTCCTTCTCCTCTCCTTCTACTGCCAATCAAATAATATCTCCATGGCAACTATAGTAATTGCTCACATGGAAAAGATGCATTAGGAAAATATTTCATAGATTCATAGATATTAGGGTCCGAAGGGACCTCAGTAAGTCATCGAGTCCTACCTCCTGCCCTGGGCAGGAAAGAGCGCAGGGGTCAGACAACCCCAGCTAGGTACTTGTCCAGTCTCCTCTTGAAGACCCCCAAGGTAGGGAAAAGCACCACCACCTTTGGAAGCCCATTCCAGATTCTGGCAACCCTTACTGTAAAGAAGTTCTTCCTAATGTCCAACCTAAATCTGCTCTCTGTCAATTTGTGGCCATTGTTCCTAGCTACTCCAGGGGGTGCCCTAGTATCTCCTATTCCCTGCTGTCCTCCCCTGATAAATGTATAGGCAGCCACAAGATCACCTCTCAGCCTTCCTTGCGCAGGCTGAAGAGATGTAGATCCCTCAGTCTCTCCTTGTAGGGCCTTGCCTGCAGGCCTCTGACCATACGAGTGGCCCTCCTCTGAACCCTCTCAAGATTCTCAGCACCTCTCTGGAAGTGCAACACCCAAAACTGGATGCGGTACTCCAATTGTGGCCTGACCAGTGCCGCATAGAGGGGAAGCATCACCTCCCTGGACCTGTTCATCATGCATCTGCTAATGCATGATTAATTGTGGTTAGCCTTGTTGATCACTTTGCCACATTGACAACTCATGTTCATCTTGGACTCAGCTACAACTCCAAGATCCCTTTCTGCTGCTGTGCTGCTGAGAAGGTCATCCCCTAGCCAGTAAGTGTGTTGATGGTTTTTGCACTTGTCTTTGTTGAACTTTCAGCTTAAATACACTTGATTTAGCAACTAACACAAACATAGATAGTTACCAGGGTCTGGTCAGGAGTGGCAGCAGGCTGGCTACAGCAATGGCTGGGCCAGCAGCAGCAGCAGGTGCCTTTCTTGTGCCCGCCTCTAAGTGCCCCCAGAGCTAGTGCCCCAGTCACCCACAACTCATTATGCTACTGGAAGCTTGAAACAAGGAGGACTGGCTCTCTACACAACACTACTAAGTGGTCCACAGGCTGCAGTGAAAGAACCATAGGGTAGGAGATTTATCTGATCAAAACAGTAGACATGTTAACCAAATGCCATGACCAAGTTATTTTTCCAGTCCTTATGTTAAAAGAGAGAGCCAGCTCCTGCTCCCATCCATTCCAATACACAGAAAAACTAATTTGAACTCAAACATTTATATTTAGCCTGATTCTACTTCTGTTTAAAACATGGGCCATTTGCCATTACTTATTCCTAAATATTCACATTAAAAACAATAAAATAATTAAATCTGCACTGAAGATGAAGATTCTCCACTGGTTACATCAGTATTAATCCAGAGAAACTCCCTAGACTCCATTAGAGTTGCTTTGGATTTATGCTGTGTCATTAGGAAGCAGATTCGGTTTTACAAGATTTAATTTTAGATAAAATGCAATTTTAAAAAAATAACTCTTCATGTTAGCAACATTAGCTCAATGGTTCCTCCAAAGAGGGGTATTAAATTCAAGTTTTTAACCTTCAACTTGCACTAGATTACAACCTTATTATAAAATTGAAGAAATGATTAGGGAAGACTGTATTTCTGAGCAAACAAGAACACTTAAATAGATCAATAGCGAAGCTTAAATGAGTCAGTAGGAAAACAACCAACACCTCAGTAGGCAAACCAAACATTTAAATGCCAGACAGCCATAGGTCATTGTGACCAAGCCAAATCCTGCACAGTACAAACCCATTTCTATGCTTTTGACTTATTCAATTCAACAGTAAAACGTTGAAAGCATTTGAAACAATATTTACATATAAATTCTCTTGGAATTTACCTCAGAAACCAATTACAAGGGGCTAACTGGGGGGGAGTGGGTTTGTAGACAAGGGGTACATCTACATGTGCAATTAATGCAGCCGAATAAACTCTGGCATAGATCATGCTGAAGTTTATTGCGCCCAGCAGCCATGTTTGCACGTGCACCTAGGCAGAGCAGCTTCAGCTGGCAAGGGGCCCTGGGGTTCAGCCTGCCAGCCTAGGGCTGCTCCGACCGGGCTCAACGTGCCGCAGCAGGGCTGGCTGGGGCACAAGGGTGCTTCAGTGCAGGGTTAGCTGGCAGGCTGCCCCAGTATTGAAGCACTCTCATGCCCCAACCAGCCCTGTCAGCATCTACATGTGCACTGTGGTGGTATAAACTCCGCCACAGAATAATACTTGTGCCTGGCAGTACTACCCTATGGCAAAGTTAATCACTTTACTCTGTCCTAATATCACCATACATGTGCACAGTGACATTTTACTGCAGAGCTAATTAGCCAGCTCCACGGTGAATGTCTCATGTCGACACACCCAGCAAGTTATTTGGAGTATTTATATTTTGACAGGGGATATAGGTGGAATTAAGGGAATGGGAATCTTTTTTTAAAGTATTTTGAGGTACAATCTGGCAGCCTACAAAAAGATTTTGACCTGGCTTGGGAACCAACTTTGCTGGTTTTTCGCAAGTGGAACTTCGAGAGAAATATGGTTATACTTCTGCTACCCATGCAAAGAATAGTAAATAGAATTAAACACCAACCTAGTTTTGAAATGCACAGAAATATCTCAGAAACTGAAAAGAAATTGAAAAGCACCAAAAGTACTGAAATAATACCAAAAAAACCTATATGGTTTATAAATTAACTTACATCCACATGGAGCCAAAGGCCATATTTTTCACAGATATCAGCTATTTTGTCCAAAGGATCAAACGCTCCCAACACAGTTGTGCCAGCAGTAGCACTGACAAGAAATGGTGCTGCCCCCTGTGAAGTGGTCCAAAATGAAAAATGTCATTTGCACTGTTCATATTCTCTGACACACACACAGAGTTAAAATGTAATAAGGTCTAGAAAAGTAGGACAGGAATAACAGTGTCTACATTTTATTTCATCAGTAGTAAAAGCCTACAGGAAGCACTGTGTTTAAAAATGCTGACTTTTAAAAACCAGCATCTCAGGCTGACATTATGACTGGGTGGACCTCACTAGATGCAGACTGCGCTTTGACAGTTGCTAGCCCTCTAAAGAAGAAAGCAAACTGAATATTTACATCTCTTTTTTTACTTTAATTTTCAGTTCAGAATCCTTTCCCTGTTGATACTTTATTTGCTGCCGCTTGACCTAATATTAAAGCACTATTAGTTAAGCTAGCAGGCTACCCATGTAAGGAAGTGACTCATCTCTCAAGGGTTTCTATCTCTGTTGCCTCTACAATGTCTGTATTTGTCACACGTTTTAGTGTAAAGGAACACTAAGCTTGGTAGCTCATTTTGCCTTGAGAGGTGCTATCATAATGTACATCAGGAACAATCATTACGATTTAAGCCTGATGCCAATAGGCCTATAAGTCACAGTGGCTATGTCTACACCGTGGCAGCACAGTGCTTGGTCACATTTGTGGGAATTAACACTAGTTGTTAGGATATTCTGGCTCAAGAATGACAGCTTGGGGTACCCCACAGCAGCCTCACTGCTGCATTTCCAGGATTGACATCCATGGAGTGAATGGGCAGGGCTTATTGCCTAAGCACGCTGCTGACATGATGCAGACCTATCCTGGGCTGATCCTGTGTTTTCTGACAATGTTAAGGGTGAAACAGATTAGATCTTTGGCCGTCTCTCTCTTCCACTACTCAATCCATCTAATCTTTTGTTTTTTAGACTTTTGATGAGTTTGAAACCCCAACAACTATTTTATATATCCATTTTGACCTCAGCGGCCATATCTATAGCTGTCCTATTACTATTAGTAGGATTAAGAGTATTAAATTAGATTCTGCCCCTAGATACACACTACTTCTTATCATAGTACCATCAGAGTTGCACATACTTATCTAGAAGCACAAGTAGAGCTTGTAGTGATTTAGAGAAACCAATGGCCTGATCCTACATAGTGCTGAACTGTGGGATCCCCAAATCAGTGGGAGTTATCAGGAGTTTCCTGCACAATTCTGTCAGACCCAAAGAATGCCATTTTAAGTCATTACATTTTACATCACATGATTACAGTTTATTACACTACAATTGGAGTTAAACTGTTCAAGTTGGGATTCACATCAACTATTTTTTTTTAATAAAAGGCTCTTCTCTCAGAGTTATTTTAAGAGCCAAACCTTCAACTTCATATATATGCAGTACCATTGATTTCATTGGGGTTGTGCCAATCTACATTGGTTGAGAACCTGGTCCCACATTCTGTGCTTTGTTAGCAATACAAAGGAGCCTTACAGGGGAGTTTAAAACCAAATTTACTCATGTTTTAAGGCTTCTTTACACCACTGGAACAGTGTAAAGTAGCCTGGGCATCAATAAAACATCAGGGCTATCTACTAGGGCTGTGCGAAATGGCTACGTTTTGATTCGATTTCGGATTCAGCCATTTCTGAGGGACAGTGATTCGTTTCGGTGTTTCAGGTCACTGTTCTGTTTCGATTCAGCCCAATCTGTTTCATGAGTTTCAATGCTGCTTTGGTGATTCGGCCACAGGTTATAATGGGGAATCACTAAAATGCCTATAAGTTTGTCATTTCTTGCCTGATTCAGATGAGTCCTTGCCAAGTTTCAAGAAGATAGGTGCAGAGTTTCTCTGAAACTGCACCTCAAACTGTTGACAGCAAAACTCATATCACTTGCTGGCAGCAGCAGCATGCTGTCATCCCGTGCATAGATCCGGGGGCCCACACTCCCCAGGAGGGCTCCGGGACTGTACCAGATTCCTTCCAGGGGCACGGGCCCCCAAATTTGTGCGCGGGATGACAGCAGGCTGCCATCCTTCTCCCAAAGCACTGGGATTGGAAAGGACCTCAGGGACAGATCATAGACACTGGCCAGCTACAGATGTCAATATCAGAGCAGTCCTCCCCCCACTCTTCTTAGTATGTGTTTCCCCACAAGCCCGCCTCTGAAACGCTGAAATTTTCCAAAATGTTTCAGATGGTTTTGTTTCATTTTGGAGATGTTTCGGAGCCTTCCATTTCATTTTGGATTCGGTGTTTAGGGCACTGACACAGGCTGAAACACCTCCGAAACGAAACGGCTGCTGAAGTTTCTCACAGCCCTACTATATACCCACAGGAAATACTAGTGTATAACACCTTTCTCAACTGTTTGTTCCTCTCATGGTCTAGAAAAAAAAAGCCAACTGATATGAAACATGCAAAAAGGGCCTGAAGCCCATGTTAATAACTATATGTATTTAATAATTTAATGAAGTGCCCTTGACACTTTGCCCTTACAGTAAAAAGCCTATTAAATTCAAATGCCCTCTGAAGCCAACAAGAGGTTTGCCTAGACAGAACAGGACAAATCTCTCAATGAATACTCGAACAACACCCTTAATAATACTTGTTTAGCTAGGAAGGGACATTTTTATTCCACTTGTCACTATATTTAAAACAAATCCTTTTTCTGAGTCTTTTCATCTTTGCCCTTTAAATCAAAGGCCTAGTGGTACCTTGTTGGCAAAAAGAAGCCAAGGATTCTTGTCTTTTATAGCCTTGTGTAACACTGGTGTTCATCTACCACTACAGAATACGAAAAAAATAGTTCTCAGCCATATATACAGAAGTTTTAAGACTATTTACTGTGATTTGTTGAAATATCTTCCTGTAGAAATTTACAAAATAGCATGTCACAAAGGACAGAGGTACTTACAGAAGCTATAGTGAAATGAGAACCCTTCAAAGTGCTTGTAGTTTTCATTTCAAGACAAATGAAACAATAATAAGCATTGATCAAAGAAAGCAAATCTGTAAGTCAAGTATTTTAATTAAGAAATTTTTAAAAGTCCAAAACACTTCATTAAATCATGCCAACTCTTGTTATAAACTACAGAAACGTTTCTTTCAAAAATTCTCAGACCAAGAAATGAAATTTCTTTTCTGGTATGTTCAAGTTTTTCCCCATACTAGCCCAGTTAATTTATTGCTTTTTATAGTTGCCCAGTTTTATTGTAGCTTCTGCTATTTCCTACATGCTCAAAATAAGCAAAGCGTAGGTCTTCTGCTCCAGGTGTTTCAGGGTGTGAAGGGGAAGGGAGGGATGTTTTTACTGGATAATTAAGCTGACAGTATGTACGTAGACAGTCTATCCAATATGGAAAGATAGTCATTTTCTGGTTAAGGACATACCTTTATTAAAAGCCTTTTCTGCTGGCTCACTGCAAGGCTGGATGACATTGTCATTAATAGGGAGGCTCCTTTAAAGGGAAGTCAGCTAAATTATGCATGGTCCAGCACCATAATATCTTATAGGGCTGTCCAACTTCTGAGTAGCTGAGCAGTGCAGATCCCTGGGCTACATGCTGCATGGGCCATATTCCGTGCTCCCCATTACAGTGAGTGGACCCTCTGCAACACTGCATCGTGCCACATGAGCCTTCTTCTACCCCAGCTGCACTGCACAGTGGGTAACCCTTGCCACACCATACATGGCGTGCAGGTCCTTCCAACTACAAGCTCCTTGAGCCCTGTGGGCCATGCCATGATGCCCCACCCCCCGAGGCAGGGTCAAACAGCTGAAGCAGTAGAAAGGAGGGGGAGTCCAGAGACTCCACCAGCAGCAGGAGAACAATGGGGGCCAGGGAGGGAGAAGGACACCGGGAGCCATGGGTTACCTCTTCAGGAACCAGATGCAACCTACAGGCCATCAACTGGACAGCCCTGATATGCTATATCAGCTATATGGTGCTCTCAGAGTGAGTATCAAGAATTCAGTCCTGGCCTTCAGTGCTCCAGTTCACAATCTGGGTACATTAGGAGACAGGTCTAACCAACCCAAGGCAAGATGATTTGCAACTTAGGAGTCATGTTACATCCGCCAAGCTATCTAGCACATATGCTGCTGTCAGTAACAAGTTTTTTTTCTGGCCGGTTGTGGGGATCCTGCTCAAAGGAGCAATAAAAATACACCCTACAGTGCTTTTACAAATGCTGCCTTCTGGCCTTCTTGCTGATTGGGGAAGGATCCCTGTAGGAAAGTAAATAGGGGGGGGGGGGGGGGG